TACAGTCTTTATCTTGAGATGTTCATTTTGTTATTTACTCCTCCCCTGAAATTGTTGAAAAAGGAAGAAATTAATTTTTGAATACAAATATATCTTTTAGATTTGCTACTTTAAAATACTCTATTGCTGATTTTCTCTTTAATTAATTTTAAAAGAATTAGTAGAAGCTGAGTTCAGTGGTGTACATCTGCAATCAGCACTTCAAGTAATTGAGGCAGGGGATCACAAGTTCCAGGCCTGCCTGCCTGCCTGCCTACAATTACAAATCCCTGTCTCAAAACAAAAATGGGCTGAAGATAAAGTTACTGGAAAAATCCTAGGTTCAAGCCTCAGGACCACAGAAACTAAAACAATTTTAAAATACAGTAAAGCCTCAATTTATGAACATTCGAGTGGCAAACTTTCACAGGTGTACTGTATAAGACTCACATTGTGGGATATGAAGGAATCCAATTTACAGATGTTCTCTGAGAACAAACTCGTTTGTAAGGCTGAGACTCAACTGTAGAGAAATTAGTAAGTATGTCACCTAGTGAATTTCTTCCTTGAAAAAAAAATGCATATGGTTTTTGGGAGCTGCTGTCTCACTGTGTACAGTAGAACATTTCTTTTCTATCTTCAGTCTTCATGCAGAGAGGAAATATTCCCTAGTTTTCCTGGAAGGATAGGTTTCCAACAATGGAATGAAATAGACTTCAAAGTTATAAAAAAAAAAAAGTTATATTGAGTCACTTTTTAAGATGATCTCTGTGTTGCCATCACCATTCTGTCAGACTGTTTCTTTTTATTTGTTCCTTCAGTCCTCTGCTCCCTTTTCAGCTCAGCTGTATGTCATGATAATAAAGAAATAAACAGGTCCAGCTAATTGGAGTATGTGTATGTTAGCTGAATCATTCCTACCTACACTTATAAAATTATCTAAGGCAATAGAATTACCTCTTACCACTAAACCAAAGAATATAATCAAATACCTATTTTCATGTTTTATGCATAGAAAATGTGCCCAAATCATTATGAATTTAAGGATATTTAAATCAGATAACCTGAGGAAAAAATAATCACTCATAGTGACCCCAGTAAAAATATAGCCCTGTATGTCTCCTGAGAACACACAGAACTGATGTCCCCAGGAATGTTTTTACCAGAGAGCTTTATTTAAAGACAAATTATATAATGCCCTTGAAGCTGTCTTACATCCCCACATTCAGCCGTAACATTCCAAGATTTCATTCTTCCTCAGAATCCGTTGTGCCTCTCCATTCTCCCGATGTACCCAGCATCCTCTCATAAAACCAGCTGTTCCAAACTATTCAGAATTTTCAGTCCAAAACCAAACAACTTGTATTAAAAGTTTGATCACATTCATGATCAACCTCTTGGCCTGCTCCCTGCTTCACATGATCTATTTCCATTGTCTTGTGACTCTGTACAGTATTTGCATCCAAAGATCCATTTTAATAGGATTGCGTGCAATTAGGGTTCCATGGATCTGTGTAATTCAAGCCAGGCCACATCTGCTCCAAAGCCAAGTTAATAGAGCTCAGAGTCACAGACCAGGTCTCCCTAAGGAGGGGAAAGTCATTCTGACCTGTTGACCAAATTGCTGCCTCAAAGATTCTAGTATTCCCAAAAGCAGGTTTTTCTAAGTGTTCACAGACTAGTGGTTAAGATTTAATCGCTGTGCTTGCTGCACTCCATACTAACAGAGGTCAAACCATTGGGCCATTCGAACTCCAATAGGTAGCTCAGTGGTAGAATGCTTGCCAGGCACACACAGGGCCAGAATGTTCAATTCCCAGCACTGCAAATAAATAAATAAACAAACAAACAAACCAAATAAAGTTAAAAGGGCCATCGTCTTAGTCTGGCTGCTATAGCAGAATACCTTAGACTGAATAGTATTTACAAACAGCAGAAATTTATTGCTCACAATTCTGGAGAGTGGGAAATCCAAGATTTGGTGTCTCTCAATGGTTGTCTGCCTCAGAGATGGCATTTTCTTGCTGCCATACAAGGCAGACAGAACCAGGTAACTCCCTTCAACCTTTTTTGGCGGGGGGTGGATTTAAATCCAAGACTTTGTGTACTGAGCTACGTTCCCAGCCCTTTTTTCTTTCTTATTTTAGACAGGATCTCAATAAGTGGCTCACATTGTCCTCAAACTTGCAGTCTTCCTACCTCAGCCCTGCAGAGTGCTAGAATTATATTGCATGGGCCACCACGCGCAACTTCTCAACCTTTCATATAAGGGAACCCATGCTGTAATACATGAGGGTAAAACCCCAAAAGCTTCACCTCTTCCTACTATAACATTGAGTGTTAAACTGGGTGTGGTGGTGCATGCCTGTAATCCCAGCACTCGGGAAGCTGAGGCACAAGGATAGTTACGAGTTCGAGACCAGCCTGGGCTACAAAGTGAGCTCAAGGCTAGCCTGAACTGCATAGCGAGACCTTGTCTCAAAAAGCCAAAAAAAAAAAAAAAATTGAATTTTAAGTTCCACCTTAAGAAATTTAGAGAATACCAACATTCAGACCATAGCAGCCATCAGAACTAAGTTCTCAGAGAAAATTAATCTAATGATATCTTCATTCCTTTTTAAAGTAGAGCAAGAATCTAAAAACACAAATTAATCTGGGTACAGAATCCTAAAAGCACTAACTTGTGAAGCATCAGATCTCTGAAGTGCCCTTCATAGTCCCATGTTGTTTCTCTGCAGAGGATTAGTTGTCCTGGCTTAGCAAAGAGAATACTAGTAACCAAGATAAAAGTATTAGGGCAGAAGTGAAGCATGCAGGCTTTAGAGTGAGCCAGACCCAGTTAGAATTTAAAGTCTGCAATTTTTACATGTGAGTTAAGTCATGTTACTCTTCAACTCTGTTTCATTTGAAATACGGCTAACTGTAATACATTTCTCCAGTAATTTTTGCAAGAATTAAATGGGATCACATATGGAGAACACTTGGTACCATGCCCGATAAAACTTTTGCACTCAATGAAAGATGGGTGCTAAGATTCCATTTTTTTAAACTATAGGAAAGCTTTCACTTCTCACTGTGCTATTTTTTAAAACTTGTCTAGAGATGCCGGGATTTTTGGCTCAGTAACACAGGGTCTGCCTCACAAGTGTGAGGGCCTGAGTTCAATTTTCAGTACCAAAAAAATACTTGTCTAGGGACTGAGAGTGTAGGTCAATTGTAGAACATTTGTCCACCATGCAAAAGACCTTGCATTCCATCCCCCAATTAAAAAACAAAAAAAAAACCTGTCTGGATTCTTTTGGGACCCAGCTCCATGATTTGTTACAAATTTGACTGTCTTAGAGACATGCAAGTTATCTGCATTGGGTTGCCAGGACTGTCAAGCACAATAAATGTAGGTAGGAATAATCAGACTTATTTTTTGATCACTGGGAAGGCTGAGAGCCCAAGAGCAAGGTGTCTCAGGTTTAGCATCTTTGGAGCCTCTCACCCTGCCCAATTTTCACTGTCTCGGCACACAGCCACTGTACGTCAGCACTTCACCTTCTGTGAGGAGAGGACACCAGTAGATTGAATTAGAACCCACCCTAACACTCTTAATTCAACTTACTCACCTTTTTGAAATCTTTTTTTAATTGCCTTTTTAAATGTCCTACCTTCCAATATAGTCAAGTTCTGAGATACTGGAATTTAAGTTTCAACATATGAATTTCAGAGGAACACAGTCCAGCCCATATCATTGTCAAAAATAAGTTAGTTTCAACTGCGCTTGGAAATAATTCTTTTCAGGAATAATGATGTGAATAGAAAGTACGGTTGACAGATTTTTACGTGTCTTCTAACCACTGAAATGCTATGGTTCTGCAGGATTCTCCACATTTGACCCATATAGCAAATGCATTTATTGTACACAGAAAATAAGAAGTCAAGCATAAGTCTCTATAAATTGATGTCTAATATAAAAAAGAAATATGGTTTCTGATAATAGACTACACATATCTTTAAAATTCATTAATGTGACAAGTGTGGCACACACTTACAATCCTAACAATTCTGGTAGCCTGAGGCAGAAGGATGACAAATTCAAGCCCAGCTTGGACAACTTAGGGAGACCTCATCTAAAAAAATTATTTAAAGACTAAGGATTCATTCACTGCTCATTGTGAATGCCGTACCCTGGTTCAATCCCCAGTACTACAAAATACATATACACATATTGAAAAATACCTGCTTGTATCATTCATTGAGTTTGGAAGATTTACTTCTATTCCACTGACACAGATATAAATATAATCAAATATTTCATCACTTGTATGTGTTGAGGTAAAGCATTAGGGTAAAGGTTATAAGGAAACCTAGAGAAACCCCAAGCTGCTACAGAGGAATACTATGTTTCCTTGGGAAGCTATCAGCAGTGTCACAAAACGAGCTTATTTAATTTCTGGTTAAATGCTTGCGTAGACAAGGGACACTGTCTGTGTTCAGTGGACATATTGCCTCTGGAGTTCGGTATTGAGAGTTTGAACTTGTAATGGTTGACAGCCACCATACTGGGAGAGAGGAAAAGAATATAATTGAAAAATAGAGATACCTTGCTACAAAATTCAGGACCAGTGGCAAGAGAGAGTCCCAGGGAGGAGCACTCTAGTAACAGTGATATGAAAGGTGCTCTGAGCAGCGTCTCCCAGGAAGAGCTTCAGAGTCCCACCTTCCCGTGTGGTGTGTTCTACCTCCCCCCAAGATGAGCTCTGAAGCCTGTTGGTGGTGGTACACTATTACTGCTATGACTGCTGAAACCCGTGATAGTGAAACATGAGTCAGATACCACCAGATACGCATGAGAGAGCGTTACCTTAAGTGTAAGAACAACCTTCCCTGAACAGAGGAAAGATGTCACAGTTCTTGATTTCTTCCCCAGCCATGGATAATATTTTATTCCCATTAAATAGTGATAATGACAAATATGATTGACGTGCAACCTGAAAAGATTCCTTGTGTAAGATATATCTTTATTCTTCTAGGCCTCTTTTTCGTGGAAGTTCAGATGTGGATCAACTAGGAAAAATCTTGGAGTAAGTAATAACTAAGTCTGAATCAATAACATTGAAAACATTTCCAGTGACTTCCCTCTGCTGTTCACATACTGTGTTTAACTCTTGTCTTTCTTACCCCAAGCTGCTGCTGCAGACAGGGTTACTATTTGTGTGGTGAGTGGAGACAGTGCCCCCGTCTCTGAAGTGTAGTCTGACTGCTGCTCTGGAAGCCGCGTGTTGCTTGTGTGAACCTTTTTTGCTGTTCCTCTTTTCTTTGCTTGGCTGAGCTCCAGCTCTTTAGTGCAGATGTGTTGTCTATTTAGGGTCTTTCAAATGCACCCCTCATCAGAAGTGGGGCGTTTGGTGGCCTGGTAACCCATTTTTGTCCAGTAAGCTTCCGGTCCCCATCAGTTGTATATACTCTGGTCATCCAAGTTTGTTTGGCATCGTTTTGTTTTCCTGAGCCAAGGATAGGGTGCTACACAATCCCATTTTTCTTTGAAGCACCGAATAGGAAATGAGAATCCTGTGTTCTCATCCTGGGCCTATGACTAAATAACCTTGAGAAAGTTGTGTAAAACGCCCTGTAAAGGCCTTACACAGTCTCAGGCACATAGTAAGTGCTTTAAAAATGTTAGTGATTATTGTGATTATAATTCATCATTAGTTACTTAACCTTTTTCTTCCTTAACGTCTTCGTCTGAAAAATGGAATTCTGACTTAAGTTCACCTGTACAATTCTTTCTTGGGCTCAAATTCTTTGATTCCATTTGTTTGTTACATCGCTTTTTGATGATTTGCAGAATTCGTGCCTGTGCATGTGAGTGTGTGTATGTTTCCATGTTTCTCAAATGTAACTGGAACAGTGTTTTCTTATGAAGCATGCAGTCAGTATGGCATCTTTTGTGGATTTGTGCATTTGCCAAGCCCCACCAGAACTGGAGTGGAGCAGCAAGACAGTGGGAGTTCAGACTAAAAATAGCTGTGATCATTGGTCTGAAGCATTTAATAGGAATACCAATGCTTTTTATGAAATCATAAGTCTGTAAGGCAGTAAAAACATTGCCCTAAAGAGCAGAATTCTGTGTTATCACTGTCTGTTCACACAGGACCATTTAAAACAGCTGAAGTAACGCTGAAACCTAACCGTTCTTTGGTGCCTGGAAGCAGTTCCTGGAAACACCCATGCTGCCATTGAGTCAGAATCCAGTGACTTGAAAGCCTGAAGAACATTTGCTAGTTTTGTTTTGTTTTGTTTGTTTGTTTTATGCATTTCTTTTTCATCTGGGAACTTACAGAGGAGCTGCCATTATCTCTACTGCCAACCACTCCTAAAATGGATAAAGTTAGCACACAGCCCTCAGGTTAAACCTGTTTCTGGATGTCAGGTTCCCTGATTGTTCAGTGATGAATTCACGTCTGTTTTCCCCCATGACCGTTGAATATATTTTGTGTGCATGTGACCTTAAAGAGGGAACTGTGAAAGTCAGATGTTCCAGTATCCCTCTATTGAACAGAGAAAACGTCACCACCAAAATCCGCTAGCCAAGCATTGAAGGCCATTCCCCACTTTCCCTTATGTCCCCCACCAGGGCTTTGCTGTTCCTCCCAACCCAGTATGCAGTCTTGTTAATATTGTTAGTATCCCCACTTAGTACATAAAGCCGTCCAGTGGACCAGGAGGAGCATTTGACCAGCAAGTTAGACTTGCTTCCAAGGAAAACTGGTTCCACTCTGGCAGGGCCCTGACAAGCCTGGATTTCCTGCAAAAAAAAAAAAAAAAATTGTGAAGCACTATACATTTTGTGCCATAGATTTTATTTCTTGGTTTCTGGCACTGTTTCATCAAAATTATGTTCTGTTTCCTCAGAATGCACTACCTTGCCAGAAAAAAGTGACAATGCTGCACCCTAGTGTCACTGCTGAAGTACTTAAAAAATGATTTCTGTCCCCACCATCATGGCCCTTTACAGATTTTGTACTATCAGTCTACTCTGTATAAATGTCAACTTTTAAGGCTTATGTCCAGCTGTCCAAATAGTGGAATGTGATGCAAGCACTTTTTAATGTACCTACAGTACTTTACAACACTCATATATTGGCCATAAAACTCCATCTTGGATATGAATATGAATTTTTTAAAAGAAAGCTGCGGTCACGTACTGTCAGACAGACAAATATTTCAATGTTTAAGAAGATTCCTAGGGCTGGGGATGTAGCTCAGAGGTAGAGTGCTTGAACAGCATGCAAAAGGCTCTGAGTTCAGTCCCCATTACCACAAAAAAAAGAAAGAAAGAAAGACATGATCTGAAAGAATGTTAAAAAATAGATTTGCCCTTTCAAAAAAATGTAAGCACTTTGAAAGTGAAACAGTGCTTCGAATCTGTGACATTTTAGAGCATTTTTAAAAGGCAGTGTCATAGTTAATGGAAAAAAATACTGGATTTGGAACATGGAGACCTGGCTTCTCTCTGGCCCCTGTGACTGAACTCAGTGTGTATGACTTTGGCAGTTCAGTTCATTTCATTCTTCATTCTCTGCTTGCCCAGGTAAAAATAATACTCTAGCCAGCATCTTTCAGGACATCCTTCCATGAGTCAGAGGAGGAGAAAGATTTACATTTATATATATATAAACTTTATATGAACAGTAATTTTAAATATATATACTTCAGATGTAATCATTTACCACACACGCATTAGAAATATACTGCTTCTGGAATGCTTTTGGCTTTCAGTTGACCATACTTGCAAGATTGTATCTCAAAGTATAAATTCAAACTGGTAAACAAAAAAGTCAATATCCAGGTGAATGGTGATGATCTGCAGAATTACTCCTATAAAGGACAAAAGGCTAAAGAGTAAGAGAAAATTTTGAAAGATCTTTAAACAGCCTTACTGTTTTTACCCTCTGCCTTATCCCCTCCTTCTGTCTAAGCACATACTCATGCGTTTCCTTTCATAATTAGTAGTGATAATTTTGTTTTCTTCTTTCTCCCCTCCCCTTTTAGCCAGGGGAGACCCTGGAGACTTAACTGAGGGCCTTGATTGTACTCAGCACATGATTTACCACTGACCTCCATGCCCAGCGCTTTGCTCCTTCTTACCCTCATTGCAGCTCTTGTCATTAAACACATTCGTGTATTGCTCAGATTGTTGTTTCTGTTCGTTGGTCAGTAAATTTGTCCATGAGGCTCTCTGCCTCAATACTGTGGCTCACTGTAGATGCCCAACAAAGGCAAAGTTAGTGTCTGGGGGATTTGCCCTTTCCAGGTAAGGTCTGGACTCTGGGCTATGTTTAGGTAAGGGGAAGAACAAAGCCCTGCAGGCCCTGTGACGTTTACCATCAGGCTTTCCTAAACCTGAAGGTACATTCATGAGGTCATCCCTTTCCAGGCCTTATTCTCATTCAAAGAATGCAGACGAGGGAAAAGTCTGTACCGTGGGTCAGCATCATTCCCAATTGGAGTTCAAATAATTTGGTTCTATGTTTTGTCTATGAAACATTCTGTCTGTTAAACTTTTTTTAGTTCAGTTACTCAGTCTTTATAAAACATGAATTCTTCCAGCCTCTTACTTCCCTTGTTCAAACCTATTACCACCTATACATATACTATAAATAATTTCTCTATGGTTTATAAATTATATAGATTGACTGATATTAATGTTTAAAGAACCTTAAGTTACACTTAAATGGAAATCAAGCTATTTATATTTTTAGTAGAGTAACAATACATTTCTCATAACATTTTTTATGATAATGTGTAATGATATTGACTGTGTGCAGTGTTTGAAACACTCACGTTTTATATATATTATCACTCATTGTCATTGCAGCCGTAAATTGTTACCATCACTGTAGACAAAAGTCACAGACATTAAATAATTTGTTCTTCCTGCCAGTAAGTGGCAGGTGCAGAATTGGAACCCAAATCTACCTATTTCCAAAACCTGTGCTCACTTTATCACTAGTTGCTTTCTCCACATTTCTGATCCCAAAATGGCTTTCAGAGCAAGCGTAAGCAATACTCTTTTATTATTTATTCACTTTGGCCTACCAGAGATGTCTTTTAAAAACAATGCTTGCATAAAACAGGAATAATATACCTTTTGGCCGTACTTTTCTTTTGTCTGATACCTAATGTTTCTGTTTGGGTAATTAGTCTAACCAATAATGCAACCAAACTGATACATTAATAACCCATTTTGGATAAGTGTCATGAAAGTGTGTCCTTTTGGTATTAGTTACGTTTAGTATCTGCCACCAGAGTAATCTCTTTATCTCCTCCCTATGAATGTTATAGTTACCCTATGAGATGAACCTTGACCCCATGACCATCATATTGCCATAAGGCAGAGAGAGGTGAGACAACCTTCAAATCATAGAAATGAAGTTCTCTTGGGGCCTGTCTCCGCTTGCCTGCTCTGTATGGTTTTGCTTTCTCTGGACTGTAAGAGAAAAACCCTTCACATAGCAGGTAATGCTCACATTCACATGTGGTTCTTTCGTAGTGTAATTGGACTCCCAGGAGAAGAAGACTGGCCTAGAGATGTGGCCCTGCCCAGGCAGGCTTTTCATTCCAAACCTGCCCAACCCATTGAGAAGTTTGTAACAGATATTGATGAGCTAGGCAAAGACCTACTTCTGGTAAGTTCATGCAGTACATAGCTGGTCTTCACTGGCCTCATCCTATTTAGACTGGGCGCTGGACACTGAGTATCAGTTCAGCAGCTGCAGGCATCGTACGGCATTGGCTGCAGTCTTTGCATGATAGCTTTTGATTTTGAAATTCCTTTCTGATTCCTCACTCTAATAAAATCTTCCATCTTCAAACATGAACGCTGCATTGGAAGCCTCTCTCTATATATGTACATCAGTAAAGGTAAATATTATATGTGCTTGTTTAAAGCTTGATGCTGCTTTAAGGCACTTGTTTGTCATTTTAATGGTATCAATACCCTTATCAGTTACCAGCTTCTTTAATAAATATTTAGTATGCCTTGTACGTATAAATTGCTCATTAAAAATTAAGGCAAAGGGGCTGGGGATTTAGCTCAGCGGCATAAGCGCCTGCCTTGCAAGCAGGCAGTCGTGAGTTCAATCCCTGGTACCGATAAAAAGGAAAAAGACCCCCCCCCAAAAAAAATTAAGGCAAAAAGAAAAGAAAGAAAACATGGTGGTCTATAATCCCAGTCCTTGTGAGGCAGAGGCAAGAGAACTACTACTGCACAGTAAAAATACTGCCTCAAAAAAGAGTCAAGGAGGAGGGGGACTTGTGTGCTCTGAGATGCAAAACCGTAATATTTAACCTTATACATAACTTTCCTGTTCAGAAGAGTACACCTTTTGGGCATCTCTCAGCGTTGGCCCCCACTGAGTAATGAGTATGTCCTTTACTTCTTGAAATAAGAGCCTTTGATAGCTGCTTCAGCCCGTGGATCCCATCCAGGTCTTCCTGTGTGTCTCATTCTGCACCTACACCAGCGAGGCCCGAGCTCCCTCAGGCGTGTTTCCCTCTTGCGGCAGGTAGCTGCTCCCACACAGGCAGGCAGAGACACAGAGCAGCCCGAGGCCTGGGCCCGAGAAGTGCGCTGCCACTTCTTGCCACATTCCACTGGCCAAAGTATGTTATGTGGCCACAGCCAACTCCAACCAAGGAAAGAATGCTGCTCCTGAGGAAAGAAGGGAGAAGAGGACATACCTGCTTTAAAAAAAAAAAAAATCACAGTATTCAAGTCTTAACTAAGTTATGATTCTAAAAGCTCATTCTGTAAGTCAGCATTTCGGGGCAGAAACAATACTATCACACACGGTTTTTGCCACCCACCTTATCCCTACCTAAAAGTAGAGCAATAATAGAACCCAACCACTATTTCTATCTATATGTATAGGATGAAATGTGTTAAACACTTCCCCTCCAAGTTCACATGTCCCCACGTTTGCCTAAGGAACTCTCCTTTTCACCCTCTCCAGCTCTTACATCATCGGTGTAGCTGCAGGGGAAGGGCTTTCACCTAGATAATCCTCTAGGGATATATCTTCATATCTTGAACATACTCCGACACTTTTCTTTCCTGTGTCCTAAAGAATAAACTGAGTGCTTCCTTTTCTAATACTCCTGCCTTATTTACTCCTTGGACTGTAGAAAGTAAGACTCAGTCTTCAGAATTTTTACCTCTGCTTTCTGGTTCTTTGCAAATTTAGCAAAGACTGACTTTGTAAAACTCTTCTAAAGTCATTTATTACTATTAGACACAGAGGAACCATCTACAAACAAATCCCTCCTCTGCCTCCTGTTTAGCTCTTTGATTTTTAGAAAACTCAAAAGAGAGACTAGCATCCCTGGACTGGTAGGGAACTCAGGTAAATAAGGTTTTGGGAAATCCAAGAATTCACCTGAAATTATATGTAGAATATTCTATTTTATTGTAGCCTTAGGCGAGTAGTTGCCAACAATGTATTAGAGGGCTCCTAATGCCATAACAAACAAATGCAGACTGAGAGTAGGGCCTTGATTGAGCAGCGGAGGTCTGCATACCCATGGCAGTGTTAAGTCTATGCAGGACTGAAATTCATAGACATTCCAGAAACCCAGCTCCAGCAGTGAACATTCCATGCTAGGTGCCTCAAATGCTGGCCTGTCGCATGTTTGCTGCCTGTGATCTCCTGGGACAGAGGTATGGTACATGTAATGAGTGCTTGTCCCCAGCTATGTGCTCTTCAGAAGGTATGGGGAAAGAAGAGGAGAGGGAGTTGAGGAAGGTTTCGGGGGTTGGAGTAAAAATGAGACTAAGATTATAAACACAGTTAGTTTGGGGGAAGAGCTTGCTGCTTCACCGGTGCCTTGTTTTGCATTCTATCTCAGTAGCCCGGTGAAACTTAACAAACCGCACAACCAGGATCACGTACTCCATCATAAGTACAGTGACCAGCTCATTTGCCCTCATATCCCTGAGTCTGAGTTGTCAGACTACAGTGTCTTGAATTTAATCCACTGGATTCTGGAGGGCTGCCACTAGCCTGCGTGGCTTCTGGATATGAATCAGAAGGACAGTTCTGATCAGTTCTTTGCTCTGGTGGTGCGCCCTAGGGCAAGAAGTGTGGCTTGCTGCAGTGGCCTAGGTTTAGCTCTTCCTTATTCCCTCCCACAGATACCATTCACACGTGAACAGGGTACCCTTCTGTTCCCTGCTCACTGACAAAACCTTGGGGCAGAGCAAAATGTTGGGGTGAAGTCTCTCACTATAGCACTAAGTTCGCTCATACTATACCAGAAGAATCCCATCCAAGTAAAGTGATGCACATACTGCAAGTAAAGTATTAACTTGTGTGTGTGGAGGATTTTTTCTGGTTTGGTTTGGCTTGGTTTGGTTTTGAGGTGCTAGAGATCAAACCCAGAGCCTTATTTGTGCTAGACAAAAGCTATACCACTGAGTTAAAATCCTGACCCTGGGCTGTGACCTTCTGAAGCATCCTGGTAAGAGTCCACAGACACCCAAAAGATGTCTCCTGAGGGCCATCTTATAGGTTAGGGAGATATAGGAGTGTAGTGCACATACTATTTAATATCCCTCTAAATAAATATTCTTGCTAGAGATAGAGGACAATACACAACAGTGAATAGAAGGATAACTATGTGAACACCAAATTTATATTGACGTGTCTTATATCAGCTTGTTCCTTTTTCTTTATTACAGAAGTGCTTGACATTTAATCCAGCCAAGAGAATATCTGCCTACAGTGCCCTGTCTCACCCATACTTCCAAGACCTGGAGAGGTGCAAGGAGAACCTGGATTCCCACCTGCCTCCCAGCCAGAACGCCTCAGAGCTGAACACAGCCTGAGGTCTCCAAGCTGCCTCGAGCTGACCATCTGGAGCCCGTGGCCTGCAGCAGGGACCCCTGCACAGGCCCTGCAGAGCTGTTGTGCCTCACTGGCTAGAGGCTTCCAGCTGCCATCTTCGCTTGGGCTCTGCTTCTCCAAGGAAACCGCCTCGTTTACTGTTTTGAAATCAATGCAAGAGTGATTGCAGCTTTATGTTCGTTTGTTTGTTTGTCTGTTTGTTTGTTTCAAGAACCTGGAAAAATTCCAGAAGAAGAGAAGCTGCTGACCAATTGTGCTGCCATTTCATTTCTCTAACCTTGAATGCTGCCAGTGTAAAATGGATAATCCAGGCACAGCTGAGTTATGACGTAATCTCCCTGCAGCTGTTGGACCTGATTTGGTACTTTTGAGTGTGTGTGTGTGTGTGTGTGTGTGTGTGTGTGTTTCTCTGATCTCTTAAAGTGTTACTTTTTGTAAATGACAATAATTGAATTTTAAAGGCCCAAGGTGACCACAAATAACAGGCACTCACTCGATCACTAAATGTGCTCTGCTCAAATTAGTTGAGCCTACGTCCTCAGCATTTCTTTACTGGTCCAAAACAGTAAAATTTGCTAGCAATAAAAGATGAAGTTTCAGGCACACAACAAAAAGGAAAAACATTCTAGTATATTTTAAGAGACCTCTTTTTTAAAGCATGCATTTTATTAACTCTTCCAAAAGCTGAATTTACTTCTTTTAAGTCTATTTGAACCTTCTCTGTAGCCACCATTCTTTATTGTTTCTTTTGTAAAATACCTATATGCTTTTTATGATTTGCTTTACATTTAGGGAATGTACCTCAAGTAGGTTAAAAAAAAATAGAGGATAGCTTTTATTTTCTGGTTTGATATGTCACTATTACTTTTTTGAGTTTTGTTGTTATTTTGTTTGTGTTAAACATTTTTCAGAAACTGTTTCCTGTCTTGGTTTGGAGAGTAGTTCTCTCTGACTAAAGACAAGAATGGCATTTAAATTGTCTTTACTATTACACTGTACTTTTTACCATGCACTGCCTTGTTTGCAAAGTGCCTATCTTATCTATCTGCTGGCTCCCTGATAAATACTGCTGCCCTTACATAACCTAACAGCTGATTGTTGAAGCTGATCCACACACCCACCTGCCCACCTTCTTCCAGTGAAGCTTTCAGTAGTTCTGAGTTTCAGGGTATGGTTTATGGTCTCCATTCTGTAGTCTGCCCAGTAACCCATATGTCCCCTCTTATCACAGTCCTGGCTTGTGTTCACAAATACTCTCTAGGTGGCGTGCAGGATACTTTTCTTTTCTACTGCTAGCACATAGGTTACTGTAAACTGTTAACTGTTGTTTTCTGTTTTTATAGAATATATCGTAAGTGTGGTATCTGAGGGGATGTCTTAACTGTCTTTTTTACCTTTTTACTTTCTGAAGTGATCTTTCTCAGCTTTGAGGTTGTTTCAAACACCTTACACTTGCTCCTGTCCTCTGCAGCACCAGTCTGACCAGGGCACTATAAACAGCTTTACTTTTTCTCTGGCTGTCTTCTCTTCAGTCCTTTACCTTCCACACCACCTCTGCCTTACCCATGGTTTAGTGCTGAATGGGCTTTGGGAACCAGAAGACATAGTAAGTATCTTTTTTGGGAAATTTAACTGCCTATGATTTCTGACTCAGGTTTTGAATGCATGCAGCAAACAGCTAGATTAAGTTTGGAGAAAATTTTTAAAGAATGGCTGTTGCTTCACTTAGCAGAGTATTTTGAGTGATTGCTGTGCATTACCAGTACTCATTGAATAGCTTAATATGGCTCTTTTTTAATGAAGAAGAATAATTTGAAGAAGAAAACAATGTAGATGTTTCTCCTTTGTGGCTTCTGCAGTTGAGATCCTTTTTCTTTTTCAAACAGTTCTGAACCCAGGGAATGCTGAGCCGTATCCCCAGCCCTCTCCCCCTCCTCCTTTTATTTTTATTTCATTTTTAGACAGTTTTCACTTAGGATCTCAAGTTTGTGTTCCTCCCAGGTAGCTGGGATTAGAGGTGTGTGCCACCAAACCTGACAGGAACCATTGCTTTTTTAAATGCATACACAGTTTGACAATGCTCCAGTGCAGTAGCTTCAGGAACAGAATTCTTTAAAAACAAGCTATAAAAGAAAAGCTACACACATCTGTCATCCCAGTACTGTGAGGCTAAGAAAGGAGGGTCAGAAGTTCAAGTCTATCCCAGGCAACTTGGTGACATAGTGAAATTTTGCCTCAAAAATTGAAAACAAGTAAATTTTTAAAATGCACTGGAAATGTAGCTCAATATGAAGGCCCTGGTTTCAGTTCCCCAGTATTGCAAGGAAAAGAAGAAGAAAAGTAAAAGTAAAGGGAGGGAACATGGATTATTTTATACTTCTTCATGTGGCAGCATTCATGAGGTGTTGTCACCACTATAAATGCTAAGAATAGTGAAACCAGACAGTCAGAGGTAAAGTATACTCAAAGTTTCACCTGGAAAACAAATTCTGCTGTTTTGTTGATCAAGGTTCAGAATACACGGACACTCATGCCGGAGCCTAGAAATTGAATTTAAAAACTCACTGCACTGATTGATCATGATCTTTTGGCTAATCCATGCATTAAGGTGAACATTAAGTTTATACATTTGTAAAAGTTTTTTAGTAAGTTCCCTCAAGAAAAGTGCAACTGTTCTAAACTGGAGTTTTTCAGCATCCTTATAATTGAGTTCAACTTTTATTTCTGCATTTGCTTTGGACTTATTTCTAGTTAGCATTTGTAAAGAATTAAAGCACAAACATTCTGGCATTAGCTGCCTGGCACACTACCCTCTGATGACAGAATGAAAGGGCATCTCACCTCTGAACTTTGTCTCGCCCTAGTTTTTCCAGAGGTGTTGCTCTTGAGCACTTACTCTCTTTATGTATGTCTTCAACACTCAAGCTCACAATTTCTGAAGTCCAGATCCACCTAGAAGTCCTACCATTAGAGCATTTCGAAGCATACAGCAAAATACAAACTTTATGAAAAAGCCTGTTCTGTGACCTATGCTTTCAGATATCTTTGCCAAAAGGTAGGTAGTGTTTAACTGTAAGGGTTAACTTCCCTGGGGCTCTCTCTTAAAGCAACTTACTGCAGGCACAGAGTATCAGGACAGATTTGAAAGCACATTTGACTTACAGTAGGGCTAGTGCAAGAATGTGCCTGATAGCTTCTGTTTGCAGTTTGGTTCTGGTGGTCCAAGGATTGTGACAACTGTTGTGTAAGGTGGAGTTTTAGTAACCTTGATAGAAAAAGAAACCTGTTTTTAGTTTATCATAAGCTGTTGCATGGTGAAGGCTGACACTGACCTTAAAAACAATTCCTGAGAACTTGTAAGAACCCAGTGCGTGGGAGCCTCCTACTCTGTGCTCTTTAAAGAATAGGGGAGCTCGGGGAGCAGAGAATCTGCTTGAAATAACACTTGGGACCATTTCAACCTCAGTAATTCTCATGATTTGCTCTCAGGAAGCACACTGTGAATGGTAGAATCTTCATTTAGCCCCAGGTGACCTACTAAAAATAGTTCAGAGTTATTCACCTAAGAATATAATGTCAGCATGTTAGTTTTAAGGAAAAATGAAAATATCAGAAGGCACAGGATATCGGTATCTTCATATGTTCCTTTGAGTAGAAAAATACTCTTTGACTCCAGTATGTGGTTCTGTCCATCTTATGATAATCAACAGTACCAAACATTTTAAACTTTAAATTATGTATGAGTATCTAAATTGGTTTTTAAGTAACTGTAGCTGCTTATCTTTAAAAGGTGCCTATTCACTAATGGCAGTTCTCATTCTATTTTAGAAATTAAATCATGTACACTTCCTAATATCATAGACATATCGAAATTAATCTATCCAAAGAACTTCTTTTAAATGAAAACTTGACTATTTTATGATAAGCACATGAGAGTATCTCATATTTTATTTTCCAGCCAGAAACATACTTTTGTTGCATACTTGGGTCTAAGAAAGAACAATGTAGAAGTTACTATGCCACCATAGTTACTTGTGTATATTGGTAGAATTCAAAATGCATGTTTGACATTCTAACATAAAAATAACGATATTGCATAATGTCTAAATCCTTTAAAATTATTTATAAAACGATTTTGGAGAAATTATATTTCAAGCAGTAGTTTTTAAATAACATTTTAAAAGGTATATTCTTTAATCATCAAATATATTGTAAGAATTATATTAAAATCACTTGGCAACTGTGGACTTGACATGTTCAAAAACCAATTTTCTAGAGAAACTATCCCAAGCACAAATTATCTTTTTAAAGATTGAGCCAAGTAAACTAAATTATCCATATTCCTTCCTCTTTTTGTAGGAAGAAGCAGCCACCCAAAGCTACACTTGTTATACATGCCTAAGAATATATTCTCTATAAAAGTAAGTAAATCATTGGAAGGCATGCATTTCCTATGCTAGCAGGATTTCTGAGAAATTGCAGACCTTACCCACAACCCCTTTTTCCTATGCATTAAGTACATACAGATATATAACGAAGACGTTGGCATGCTTCTTATTCACAATAGAAAAACAACTTGAGGCCACCAAAACCTGACAAACAATATTTAGCTCAGTGGCGTAAGTGCCTGCCTTGCAAGCGCGTGGTCGTGAATCTGATCCCTGGTACCAGTAAAAAAAAAAAAAAAAAAAGCCAACAATATATGAGTACTGGAAAAGAAATGTGGAGGTTCTTCAATGGCATGAGAAAGGCATTTTCATGCCTTACTGACTTCCTTTTGTCTCAATATACTTTTCAGCCCAATTTTGATAACGTAGTTGTATTTCAACCATTTATAACTTCTATTACTTTACAAAATAAGCCAGAACTATTCCATTCGATTGTCTGATGTTTGTACACAGTGGAACTGTAGAAAAAGAAAGTTTCTGATTTTTAAATTTTTTTCAATTATTTCTTAGCATTCTCAAAGAGTTAGTTTAATGTGTTTCCTTGACCCTGGTAATCTGGCCTTCAAGAAAAAAAAAGGAGCTACCTGAAAATATAGGCTGTTTTTTCAAGCGTCTATTGAGATATTATTACAGTATTTTAAATTTAATATGGTAAGAACGGAAGATAGCTTCTCTTGTAAAAATCTGTTTTACAATTCATTCTGTCCTAAGAGCCGGGCTTTTTGTTTTATTCCAGTGTATCCCACAAGGTGGCACTTTAAGAGAAAAAGTAAAATCTAACCAAGGCTAGAGAGATACTTCTAAAGACATCATTCTAACTTTATTTTTCTGCACATTTTAACTATTGGCCTAGCACTTGTTTAATAATTAATAGTCTTCATAATGTTCTGTAAGTTACTTTGTTTCTTAGGTAGGTTCTGAACAGTTGTTTATGCTTTAGGATGGCTTATGCATAAATAGTTCGATCACTTAAATGAGTAAAGCCCAGTCATTCATTTATTCAACATTTTTTGAGGTTCCTAATTACCTCACTTTTCTACTTTAGGCAGACTTACTAAAAAACAACCCTTATCTGTGAATAGGACAGTTTTGTTAGGAGTATAAAGCTCATGGCTCCATCAAAACACCCACACCCATCTACTACTTTCGCATCCCCTACCATCCAGCTTTGAGCAGTCCAGCTTTAAAGTCCTAACTTAAAAATCTGGTAAGCAAAATAAATAATGTTTCAGTAAGTAGGTTGGCAAAACTCAAGAAGCTATGCTGAAGCAGGAGACTCAGAACCCTTAAAAGCATGTAATTTTTACATTTGTGTAGTCAGAAATGTAAATTCTTATGCAATTGGGAAAGGGCTGGGCGTGTAGCTCAGTGGTAGAGTGATGGCCTATACGTGCCAGCCCTGGGCTCAATCGCCAGTATCACAAAAATTGGAGTCTTGTCTAAGTATGTGAGCATAGCAACCAGAGCGTGTCCACCTAAGTATGTAATTTCTCCACTCTGCAAGTCTTTTAGCAACTTTATGCAATATATATTGTTTCTAAGTTCACATTTCTGCTCAGAGGCCTATTATGCCTTCCCCAGTGATCTATGAAATTTGGGAGAAAGGAAATTAGTGTTTTTAAGTTTCTTTAGCATAACACAAGGCAGTTGACTCCTGAGTTGCAGACAATGGGCTTGCTTTCTTCAGAGGGAGTCACTTGGAACTGCCTGAGATAAAGCCCTGGCACTAATTCATCCCCCCCGCACCCACCAACACCACACTGAAAGGCCAGATTCAAACCTGGGGATTGTAGGTTTGTTGTCCAGGCCAGTCTGAAATCCACGGCTCCTGGACCCAACCCGACCCAACCTGGGCATCTCAGGTGCAGGGATCTTTGCTGCCCTGCACCTTGGCCTGTGAGTGGCAGGAGCTGAGCTGCTCGGGACCACAGGCCGGACACTGTCCTGGCCAGCTAGGCCCCCCGCTGCTGGCTCAGAGGCATCTGCTCTGCAGTCTTAGGGAATAAACTGGCCCTAAAAGCACACAGGTGTCTTCTGTGCATCAAGAAGTACAACACAACCCTCCTGACCCTGGAAAACAGAGAGATGCAATAGACTGTTAATTGCAAAGCACTCTACCGGGCATCTCCAGTGCTAAGGTCAGCTTTTTTGTTTTTGTTTTTCAAAGAGAAGATAATTAAAGGGGTTTTGTTGGAGGTTTTTTTGTTGTTGTTTGTTTGTTTTTGTTTTTATTGTGTTTTTTGTCATTTTACATGCTTGATGGCAAAAGACATATCTGAAAATTTTTTAAGAAATTATTCATTTTCTACATCACCTTCAGTTGGCAGGAGCTACCTTGTTAGCTTCCAGTTTTTATTGCCAAGCAATTAAAGGTATGAAAGAAAATGACGTCATGTGATGGGGGGATTTTCTTGTGCAGAGGACCGTTTGTGTGATTGCTCATATAAATTAAGCCCTTCTGTATTTGAGGAGTTTGGGTTTTCAGATGCAGATTTTCTTAATGGGTACACATAACTGCATACTGATAGCCATATCCTACATGGCACCAGCCAGCAAACTAGGAGCCACACAGTTGTTTAATTTGTACTCTGTGGTTTCTAGCCAAATTCTGTTGATGTGTTTAGGTTAAAGTTCTGTAGATACTCTTTGTGCCCCGGAACGTTCTAATCTTACGCTTAATGAAATACAGTAATTTGTATTTATGTGGTCACCAGAACACAGTTTGACTCTGAAGGCTCTGAAAAATTAGATTCAGCAGTAACACATCTCTTGAATTCCCAAGTATATCATGTATGCTTCACTCTCGGTCCTCTGCAACAATAGGCACATGTGTGTTACAGTTCCTTACTTAATTTGTATTCACTTGTTTTCCTGTGATTAGTAAGAATTGTATTAGTACATGGAATGAATAGCATCCTAGGAACAGCACTTAAAAGGTGTCTGATTTTTTCAAGTTGTTCGACATTTGCATAAGTTATTTCTATTATTCATGTATATTATTTATTTGAGTCACACTAGTCCTGTGAAAGTGCAACTGAAGGTTAAGAATTGCATTTAACATTCATTGTGGCCTTGATAGAGCAAAGGAAATAAAACTTAGACCAAGTCCCCAAATAAGCTGCATGCATTTCTACATGATAGTAGGTTTAAGTGTATGGTTTTAGTACTTTTGATGTCTAGGTGTTTTATTATTATGTAAAGGAATTATAGTTGTTGCTTTTGTCAAGTGTGCATTTAGTTTAGTGTAAAATTACAGCAAAAGTAAAAGCTAAAGGTAGGAAAGCATTTTAGAAACTGCCTTGACGTAGGAACTATGCCAGGTGGCCAGCGAAGTAGATGCCCACCAGAGGCAGGTGTGTGGGGTGCCTCTTGGCTGGCCTTGTGAGGAAGTTTCTCGCACGATCTAGTGCTGCTGTGGGTGTTCCACACAGCAGTGGAACAGGTAGTACTGTTCAGAGGGAAGCAGTGCTGTAGCTGCTTTGTTGGAACAGAATTAGCAGCTTACGCCTTGAGGCTTCCAGAGTGTGTCTGATGGAAGAGTCCAAGATTGCGTCCTTTGGGCAACTTTGCTGTGTACAGAAGCAGTCCAACCTGTTCATAAAAATCTAGGGTTGCAGTAATAGGTTTTAATGACAGCAAGTCCCAAAGCCAAAAGCTTGTTGCATTTTAGGTTGATCTGAAGGTTAAAGGGCAAGTGTTCAGTATAGAAGAGCAGTATGTGTTAAGAAAAGCACAGTATCAGTTCCCACACAGTGCAGATTAGAGCTAGAGAGTTTTAGAGAACTGTCATTTCTGAGATATGTTAAAAGTATATTTAACTGTAATATGCATTAGTGCTTCTGCATTCCCATAGTTTTAAAACTTTCAGGTTTTGCCAAAGCTATCATATGTAGTAAACTTTTTTCCTGATTTATTCTAGAAAATGTTTTGAAAGTTAAAGAAACTCTTAATCTGAACATTTGCCTCATGGGTTTCTTGTTTGAAGTCATAGAATTATAGAGATTGCACATATCAGACGCTAATCTAGGCTGTGTGAAGAACCAGCCCAAGATGACCAATACTCCCACATCCTACACCTCACCCCTACAGCTCTTCCTCCTTCCACTAAGGTGCTCTGTGCCACCAGGTTAGCTTGTCCATCCTCCTCTGATGATTTGGGGGCACTGGGGACATGGTGAGAGATACCTTAGGTACCACAGTTTGCCTACATAGGTCTGTCCACCACCCCCACTTGACCTTGGGCTCCTGATGCCAGGCACAGAATGTGCTGGTGATACCAATCAAATATGCCTTCTAGCATCTTTGTATGCATCTTGACATTTAAACCAAGTCATTATCCAGAGCATTCAGTTTTGGCTGTGGTCCCAAGAGAGAAACTAACCAAGAATACAAACCACATTCCAAGCTGCTATTTTCTATCCATCTACAGGCTATACTTTTCCTGTATTTTCTTCATACTTGAAATTCATTCTGCTATTTTAATATCAGGGTACAGACATCAGGGTGCATGTTCCTTCAAGGTGCATAATGACTCTCATTCCGTTTGCTTGTGTTGCCACAGAATGCTCTGTTTTGGTGCTTTCAGTTAAACAGGTCAAAGAAGCAGTGTGAAAAATCCCTGCCTGGACCACAGTCTTACAACAATGCTGGCAGATGGCTTGGTGTCAGATGTTGCTTCTGCTCTTTCCTCTGAAAACAAGATTAAGAGTTGCCACATTGGCCAGTCAGGTCCACACAAGTATCTTTATTCATGAATATACAAGCCCTATGCTCCAGCCTCAGGTGGGTGTAGCACAACCTCTGAAGCAGGGACCTGCCTACCTGTTCAAATTATTAGCCCTCAAGGAAAAATGACCTTGGGTACACATAACAACAGAATGGGAAGGGCCAGGTGGGCCATCTCGGGACCTTCTCTCCAATTCCATATCGAAAGCCTTCCTGAGACCAAAACAAGAAAGGAAGGAAAGAAGGCTTATCTCAGGTTACCCTCAGCTGAATGCACTCGCTCCCTTTGAAGCAGATGAAAATACTGGTCCATTTATCTAAACCCTTCCCACTTGAAAAGGAAAACAGAAAAATAGGTGTTAGTGTCACGTAAAGTATGTCATTCAAGGAGCACCACAACTTCTAGTAAATACCCCGTCACTAGGAATGCTTTTAGAAGTGTGTCAAGTGAGCTATGCTTTCTGACCCAGGGCTTCTGAGGTCAGATGCAGCCAATCTAGTGTGTCTCATTCCAAGATTTGTGCGGAGAAGGAGCACTGCAGTGGTGATTCTGTTGCAATGGCAAAGGTGACAGGTCAGAAAATTCAGAGGGTTACAGACCAATAATCCTTTGAAAACTGGATGTCTTACTGGGTGCTAGAATGGAAATTTAGGTATTTATTATCAAATAATGCAATTCATTGTTTTTTTCAAAACTAGTGTTGAAATGTTACTGTCCATTTTGTTCACCTATGCTCAAGCTCAGTTGATTGAAGCAAAAAGAAAATAATTTGTACATTTGTCATACCATTTGTATTTCTTACAATAAAAATATCAGTAGCAAATAAAAACCACAATTTTAAACTGCTTTCTTGGATTTACTCTTTTGGCTATTTTTTTTTTTACTTTAATGTAAAATGAATATAACTATAGTAAGTAATGTATTACTAAATTACAAGAATGTATTAGCAAAATGTGTTGTAAACTTTGGAGACATCAATGGGACATCCAATGTAAATAACAAAGTAAATAACATCCCACTGAACTTAGAATTCATCTAGCAAGTATTTATCAAGCTGTTGTGCGCTAACAGTGATAAGCATCAAACATGTAAAAGAGAATAACATGTGGGCAGTCTTTTCAGAGCTTACAAATGAGAAGAGGGGCTGTGTGTGTCATCAGTGCTGATCTGGAGATGAGCAAAGGTTTCCCATCAGAAATAAGGCTGAAGAGAACCAAAAAGCAAGGGTCAGTGTTCGGCAGTCACATGAGGAAAAAATGCTTTGCACACACCAAGTCCTGCAAAAGGCAAGGCAAGAAGATTGGTGAGGCTGTGCCAGGGAGTGGCTTCCAAACATCTGGATCATAATTTGTAGGTGGGATATAATCTAACGGAACAATCTGATACATGTGCCTACATGAATATGTTATGGACCATTTTCTTCTAAGCTGTGTCCAGAAAAATCCTTCACCTGGTTATCTCTGCTATACTCAGAACCATTTTCCCTTAAGTGTGTAGTAGCTATTTGTCACTGGCTTGCCCTTTGGGATTCAGCCCTGTTCCACTTCCCTGTCCTCTGGGAGAGAACTAATGGGGGTCAGGATCCCAGAAAGTTTGTTCTGCAATGTACTCCACATGATGATGCAGTGTTTCACATGTCCTCTTCTATTTTATAATTCTCTGCTCTGAAAGTATTAGTTAGAATTGATTTTACAATGCAACTAATAGGGCATGACTCACAGTTTGAAAAGGATGGGCCTGGGTGGTGAGAATGGGACGGACAGCTAGGAGCTCACGCCGTACAAAGGTTTTCAGAGGAAGACAGTTCCTGCTAATGTTTGCCTGTCTTCCTGTCCCTATTTATGTATTAGAAGCAAAGTAGATAAAATACATAGCAGCTCCTGAGATACACAGCAGACCAAAAGGAGGAGACTATAGTTGCTGATACCCATGTTCCCCCTCTTTGTATATATTAGGTATAAATTAGATCTCTAAGATTCCCTGCAAGGTCCCATTAAGACTTGCCTTTATTTTTTTTAATTGCCTTTATTTTTATAGGACCTTAATTACATTTAAGTTTTTAGAATCTAAGAAAAATTTATGAAGTATGATGCAAAGTTAATAATTTTATCTTTAAGAAATTGAAACTGCACAGCTTATTGAGAGATCAGTCATAACAATAAGTGCTTCCAGAAAGGATCCGCATCAGTAACCAGTTCCTTCACAGCTGTGTATCATAGATCCTCTAGCTATCTCTGCTATATTCACATAGAACCATCTTCCATTAAGAACTCACTCTTTGCCACTCCTTCTACCCTTTGGAGGATCTAACTGATTTCCACTTTGCTGCTCTTTAAGGAAGAGCTAATGGCAGGGATGCATCCCAGGAGGCCATATCTGTTCTACCAACTCCATTCGGAGCAGGTTATGTCATAATTTGTAGGCTGAGTCTCTCCAGTATGTCTAGGTCTGCTACCTACTTGTACCCTCAGGGCTGCAGGTGGTCTTAGTCTCTTCCTGTACACAGAGGATCTTGGAGAGAGTCCATCTGCAGATGGGAGGGAAAATTGGCAAAGATTAGGTCTAGATAACCTAGTTCCTGTTTCCTGGGCTCTGAATAGCATTTCCTTATGATAAATTTCCTTCAGCTATTTTTTCCTTTTAATTAATGTGGCTTAAGTAGATATTTATTGATTGCAGGAAAATTCTGACATAGCATCTGATCAGTACTACAGTTTGGGGTAACTGTGCTGGACTGTAATTCAAGCTACTGAAAGGCCAAGTGAAAGAGCAGTGTTCTTATTTAAGTGGATAAAAGCCAAAATGGTAAGACTCTGCACCTTCAAGCTGATGTTCCCAGAAACAGGAAAAAGAGAAACGCTTTAGATAACCAGTGTGTACCTTCTCTGATCAGCAAATGTATTCAAAGTAAAAAATAGTAATTATTTGTTACCCCTCGGTAGAAAATAAGCTCCATTGCCAGGTAGCACAGGACATGCTTATACTTTCAGTACTCACAGGGCTGAGGAATGAGGATCACCGTGGGTTCAGAGCAGCCTGGGTTATGTAGTGAGAACTCTGAGAGGGAGAGAGAAAGAGAGAAGAGACAGACAGAGTGAGATGAGAAAGGGGGAAAAAAAGGTTCATGAAGGCAAGAAACTCATTTCCTGTTCTGTTCCAGTGCCTAGGACAGTGTTCCATCAATATTGACTAACTGAAACAAGGAATATTTCCACCACATATCCGTGTATTAGCTCTGCTATACTCCTGGATCAATGACCTAAATACAAGAGTTAAAAGTGTAAGAGTTAGAGAGGAAAACACAGGAGAAAACCTCCAGTTTTACATTAAGCAAGGATTTCCTAGACTGGACACAAAGTTACTGATAAATGGCATTTTATCAAACTTTGAAAAAGAGGAACATACAGATTGGGGAGGGGTTGCAAAGCACAAAGGACTTATCCAGAGCAATAATCTAATTTTCAAAATGGGCAAGAGATTTGAAATGGCCTTTCACCAAGGAAGACAAATCAGGAGCTGAAGTGATGAACTATTAGTCAACAGGGAAATGCAAATTGAAACCACAATGAGCTGTCACCACATGACTCGCTGAAATTTAAAACTGACAACTCCAATGTTGATGAGGATGTGGAATAAGCGAAACTCAACACCAGTGGTCATAACACAACATAATACAGTCACTTTAGAAAAAGCTGGAGGCATTAAACATAAACTTGGATTTCAACCCAGCAATCTCACAACGAGGTGATTGTATATCAGTGTTCAGAGCAGGTTCACTCAGTGGGTAAAAACCAGAAGCAACACAAAAGTCCACAAAAAGGTTATTGGATAGAGACTGGCTTACAAACAATGGAATAGTACTTAACAGTAAAAAGGAAGAACTACTAATGCAACACACCATTGGTGAATCCTAAAAATACTTAGGTGAAAAGAGATACAAAAGGCAGTTTGGCTCCATTTACATGAAATTCTAGCCAGGCATAGTGCCGCACGCCTATAATCCCAGTACTTGGGAGGCTGACTCACATTGCAAGTTCAAGACCAGTTTGGGCTACAAAGTGAGCTCAAGGCCAACCTGAACTACATAGCGAGACTGTCTCAAAAAGAGCAAAATAAAATTGTACCTACTTACATGACATTCTAGAAAAGGCAAAACTGTAATTTCATGGAGAAAATCAGTGACTTTCAGGGGCTGGGAGACAGGGAAGAAGATTAACTGCAAAAGGGGTCAAGGTAGCATTGTAGAGAAGTAGGAGTGTTGAATTACTTGACTGTAGTCATGCTTGCCTGATGTGCGTCCAACATGAAACTGTATACTTTAAATGAGAGGGATTTTGTTTTATGGCAGCCATACCTCAATAAACTAAAAGTTTAAACAACAAAGGTGGAACAAGAAGAAAACCAGTATGGTGAAGCTGGGACCCACTGATTGAGCTGAAGCACTTCTGAGCATCAGGAATTTTCCTTTCTGACTCATTTTCCTGGTTAATTCCTCTATCTTCAGCCATTAGAAGGACTCAACCTGGAATTTTTTAAAAGGAAAACTAATTAATGCTAGGATTATTTCCAAAAGATGAAAAATATTTCCAAAAGATGAGAAGTATAAAATAAAAAGTGGCCTTTATTCTGAGAACACGGAGAGAGATGACCAGCAACCCCCACCACTGGCGACCGGTGATCTCTCCACGTGGCGTGGGGGCATGTAAATAGCCTCGGTTTGGGGTGGAACCTAAGGTGGGCATTAGGGAGGCACAGGTAGCCCATTGGTCCTAGGGTTGGTATATTGTAAATTCCAGGGGCAGGAAGATGGCGTCACAGGTAACTTCCTAGGAGCGAGGGAGATAGGGTTTCTTGCTTCCGGTTGAGGCTTTCCTGGCTACAGTGTCCTGTCTGGGCCAAAACCCTTTCATATCCCATCTTATGATTATTATTATGAAAAGGGGCGAAGATTTCACTCTTTAACTACTTCCTGCTGGCAGAGGGCGCTATACTGGAGCCTAGAGGAGTCGATGGGATGAAGATTGATGCCCAGGTAGACGCTGGTGCCAGGTGTTTTGGCCAGGACAACTTCACTGGTGAATGCACATATGTTAGACTGGAAAAACAAAGAGACAAGATGTTATGAGGAGACATGGCACTGTCATATTTAAGGATCCAGGTGAGGTAGAGGGAAAGGTGCTTTTGATTTAGACACATTCCACCGTAAGGCCGAATTCTGAAAATTAAATGTGAGGTTAGGAGAGATGATGTTATGAGAGGTGATTACTCCCCTATCTGAAAGCATAAAAGTTAAGAGGTAGGTCGGTAAGGCTTGTCTCTGGTATGCATGACGTTGGAGTCTGTAGGCAATACTGTTAAAGAGTTCTGCTGTAAATATGATCATTAATAGAATGTAAGAAATTAGGAACCAAAGTGGATAACAAAACATGACTTATCCTCTTAACTGTGGCTGCGAGGCCTTCATGAAACAGAGACGGGTGGGTGACAGAAGATGAGATGACCATTCAGAATGATCAGATTTAGGGCTGGAAGGGTACCTCTTAGCCTGAGTGATGTGAAACCAGGATGGCAGTCTAGCAACTTTGATTTAGGCATGGGTCACTGTAACCTGGTTGTATCAGCAGTTTACTTGGTTGTGGGAAAGGCTTTTATGTATCCTGAAAAAGTATAAACAAAGTGAGAAGACAAAATGTATCTGTCAGTCTTGACCAGGGTTGTCTGACAAATTGGTGAATAAGAAAGGAAGGGGGTGGTCTTATATCACTGAGGAGAGGTCCACCAGTGACAACAGGTGGAAGCTGTTGAGGCCTCAGTGTGTCTAAGTGAGCCTGCATAAACACAAGGGA